TCAATAATATGTAATTTTGAACCGTTTATAAAAAATAACTAACATGTTTAGAAAATTTGTATAAAATTGAATAATCTGCGATAGTTTTTCACATTGTAATGCACTCATGAATTAATCATTTTTTTTCGATTATTAACACATGGTGGAAAGTTCGTGCAACTTGCTTGAAGACAAAGTTCCACTTACACCATTTTATACACTTATAAATGATTTGGAAACAAAGCCTTCAATAGCCCGCGTTTTGATTCGATCTCGTTTTCAATACGCCCGCCTTCGGCTGATTTTGACTGAAGTCGCCTCTTAATCCAGCGGTCTATTAACTTGGCCGCCTTTTAATTCAGTGGACTTCTAATCCGACCGCTTTTCGTTATGGCCGCCTATAAATTTGCTCTTTTCTGATTTGGCCGCACTCTGGCCAGACACGGCCCTGACTATATGAGATATAGTATTGAATCGATTGAGAATAAAAAGAAAAATGTAAGTTTAGATTTTGATATGGTGACTCTTCAAGCTTTAACTTGTATGTGTCGAAGCCTGCCTGCTTGGATTTAAAACCTTCACCACATACCTTGCAAGAACAGCCCCACAACCGCTGGAACTTGTCTCGCAAAAAATTTCCAAAAGGTCATCCAAAATGAAATTTACCCACGAAAAAACAATTTCGACCGTGTTGAAGAAAAAAACCTGAATTGTATCACCTTAGTGCTTGTTTGTCCATATGTATGTATTAATGTTTATTAATTCGCGGTGATTATTCTTGACCATGCGTGCGATGTGTTGCAACCGAATTACCAGTTATCGTGTCGTGTTACGTTTGTGTAAGTTTCTGCACCGGGCGCTCCGTTACGTCACGATTTTGACACCATTCCGAGTGCTCCAAGGCCGCGCTGCGCACTCATGACTACGAGATAATGGGGCCCGACGGGTAACGCGCCAACTGCTAACGACTCTTACTCTTAACCATAAAGCGGTTCCAAGCGAAATTAATTAAAAATTTATGCACGCCGGTCGGCGGGTAACATGGAACATGGAACATGACGATGTTGCATTCGGATTTCGTGATGCGAATAAATTTATTCCATTTCTTGAAACGACCCAGGATTACTGTACTGGGAACGCTATTCATGTCTATATGTTGCTGATAAATGTTAAAATATTTTGAAGACTAAATGAAAATGAAAGTTTTATATTTGGTTTTGATGTTGATAGTATCTTTTCCAAAGGTTTTGATTCAACTCCTATTTTCGCCCATTTTTCAGTCAGTTTACTCACTTATCTATTTGTCTTCACATCACAACAAAAATTAAATGTATCAAATCCAGAGTGAAGGAACTATATTGGCTGATAGGTCATAACTCACTATCACTTGAAAATAAAATACTGGTTTATAAAACTATAATTATTCCCATTTGGTCATACGGGACAGAGCTTTGGGGATGCTCTAGCAAGTCTAATGTTGCATTGGTACAGAGAACTCAATCCAAAATACTTAGAATGATGACAGGCGCACCATGGTATGTAAGCAATAAAACCCTCCACGATTATCTTAATGTGTTATACATTAAAGACTTATTACAAACAAGATCAACAAATTACCATCATAAGTTAGAAAGCCATCCCAATTAGTTGCTCCGCTGGTGGTAATTAGTTTTTAGAAAAGGCAAGTCGTTTTGCAGATACTGGGCTAATAGTGCAAAAAATGACAGTTTTTGAGAGAACGAAGCATTCGATTTGAATGATTAAAAAAACTTTTGCTTTTTTTGTATAAGCTCACTTATATACTTGAGATAAATAATTTAAAACTTTGCAATTCAGTTTATATAATTCTTTAAAATATGAGATACGATTCTTCATTCTAACTCCGCTTGATTAAATTTTGTTTATTAACTTTTTATGTGAACTTATATACACGTCATTGTCCATTTTATAAGCTCTTCTATTTTGTCTATACACCATACACTACTAGTTTTTCATAACGTCAACATTTGTTAACAAGTCCATATCAATTTTTAACTTAAATCATTAATCCCATGTCAGTCATATGCAGTGCTGGATTTACAGTCATATGCAGTGCTCCAAATTTTCGGGAGCGGCAAAATTTGGATAGTGGGAAAAAAAAATGCAATATAATTAACTATTTTTTTAATAACATTATTTCAAAAAATATAATTATTAAACATAATACGATAGCAATGCAAAATTTGGCTTTTAATAACTTTGATTATTATTTATTGTTTTAATACAATTATTATTGGTAAAAGCAGCGCAATTGCTTTTATAAAAAGTTCCAAATTTCCGAAATATTTCAAAATATAAAAAAACTCAAAATTTGGTACGGGATTTTACAACAATTTGCCACAAGGCTCGATGTCAAGCACCACTATTTATAATATGTAATGTGTAATAAATATTCTGGAATTTTAGAAAAATGATAAATAAAAACTATTTATGTAAAATTTGGGGCGTCATTTTTGGAAATTGGCAAAAATAATCTTAATTCTCAAGCCTGGAAAAAATCCTACTGATGCAGTTTCCTACCGGCCCATTAGTCTTCTGTCTTGCCTCTCAAAAATTTTTGAAAAAGTTATTCACAAAAGAATCATAATTATTTTAGAAGATAACAATTTTATGCCAAAACATCAATTTGGGTTCATTAGACAACACTCAACAGTAGAACAAATACATAGAGTTGTGGATTCCATTTATAAAGCCTTTCACTTAAAAAAATATTGTTCAGCCCTTTTCTTGACATCAGTCAGGCGTTTGATAAAGTATGGCATAACGGCTTATTGTACAAATTAAAGAAGAATTTACCATACACTATTATCTCCTCCTAAAATCATATCTGTGTGATAGAAGGTTCTTTGTCAGTTTTAATGATGCTTCATCTAATGTTAAAAATATTTCTTCCGGAGTTCCCCAAGGTAGTGTTCTTGGTCCGCTGCTTTACATTATATATACTGCTGATATACCTACAAATGCAGATACCATGATTGCTACCTTTGCAGATGACACGGGAATTCTAGCTCAACATGACAACCAATTGCTTGCCTCGGAAATTCTACAAAAACATGTAGATGAAGTAGAAAAGTGGATGAAACTATGGAGAATAAAAGTGAATAACTCTAAATCAGTTCACGTTACTTTTACCTTAAGACAAGGTTCATGCCCCCCTGTTAGATTGAATGGTGATTTGGTTCCTGTATCCAATGTTGTTAAATATCTGGGATTACATTTAGATAGAAGATTAACCTGGCATGAACATATTCTAAAGAAGCGTCAGCAGCTTGAATTAACACGTAGACAACTAAATTGGTTAATGGGCTGGAAATCACAAGTCACAATAGAAAATAAACTCTTAATCTACAAGACATAATTAAACCAATATGGTCCTACGGTCTACAACTATGGGGTGCGGCCAGTAAATCGAAATATAACTATTCTACAAAGGTTTCCAAAACAAAATTTTGAAAGAAATCGTGAACGCTCCAAAATATGTTCCAAACTGGTTGATACATCAAGATCTCAGTATCCGAACTATAGATGAAGAAATTAATCTATACTGCACCAGATATAAAGCTCGTCTGAGTCGTCATCCAAACGTATTAGCGTCAGATCTGCTCAAGCCTTTACCACCAAAGCGTCTTAAAAAAAGAATATGCAATGATTTACTAGAAATTATAATATAATATCTATGAAGGCGCTATCGCAAGATAGCGATCCTTCTCACGCAGACAATTAATATATAACTGTAACATATGTAGCTGAATGTACTTTGTATAGCTTGCTATGAAAAATAAATACAAAAAAAAAAAAAAAATTTTGTCATTGCCCCAGGGCGCCAAATTTCTAAATCCGGGCCTGGTCATATGTATCTGACGCTAAGGAGTACTGCTACGACTGACATACGCGATTCGATAGAAGGAGAAAAGTGGTGCATGGCATCGTGCCTTGAGGCAAATTGCTGGAACTTCCCGTACCGTAATTAGAAATCTTGGTACGAAACTCAAAAAAAATTACACAAAATATGTACACATTATTAAAATTTCTATAAAATATCTAATAATATGATGTACATATGTCCAATAAACATTTTTGACCGCCAAATGATATTTTTTAAACTTCTTTTTATTGAGAGTCATTAACCGCTGGACCTGCCTTCCCAAAAATTTAATCGGTTCTTCACCTTGTCAATACAAGTAAAATGTTGTTTGAATTATTGAAATCGTTACCGTTTTTGGCACTTTTTACCCGTATTTTCGGAACGGCTAGACCTGTCTTTGCCTAAAACTAATCAGCACGTCTCCTTATCAATACGAATTGAATGTTTTTTGAATTATTCAAATCGATTGATCGGTGTTCCCGAAATCGTCGACAAAATTTTGTATCCTCACACACACACACATTTATGTAAAGTATAAATACAAAGTACAAATTAATTAATCTAAGTACAAATTTTGTGTACATTTATGTGGGCCCGTACCAATGTTTACACGGTAGACGACTACCTGGAGAATGAAGCGCGATTGCTTAAAAAGAAACGTTCAAAATTAAAACAAAATCAAAATACAAAAAAAAAAAAATTAAAAATATCCAATTTTTCAAAAAAGGCAAATTTTTTCAAAAATTTTAAAATGTTTTTTTAATAATTTAGTTTTTCATACGGGAAATTTCAGCAAATTGCCTTAAGACACGATGTCATGCCCACTAGTTCTAAACTTATATTCAAAAAACTATTTATTTCAAGGACTCTCACATAGATAAAAGAAGAGTATGGTCTTTCATTTATTACAACCAGTTATTATTCCATCCCGTGTCTACTAAATTCGTAACTATGAATATCTGTATAATTTGATCAAATTCATCAATGTGCACCGACCCTAACATCGCATTTAAATAATATAAAATCTCATAAAAACTAACGAATGTACTACATCTCTGTCTACCCCCACCCTATTGGTCGCGAACCAAAACAAAACCAACAAAAACAGACAGGTTGTTCAGTTGTGAAAAATACTCAGGCGTGCGAGTAGTGCTCGGCAGGTTAAGTAAGCGTCAGTTCTGAAATCAAATAAATCATAACGAAATAAATCAGGATTATTACCATACCCATTATAATTTAATGATAATTATAATCGGTATAGTTGGGTAAATGTTTTATTACATGTAGTGTAATTTAAATTCGAATGCGAGTGGTTTTGTTCTGAAGTGAAAAGTGAATCTTGTTCTTGGCGCGAAGTCCTTGTGTATATTGGATCGCGTTATTGCCCACAGGTATGTTGAGTTTTTTTTTCGAATGCGCTTTTAAATCTTTTATTGATTTAATACTTTTAGTCATGTGAGTATAAATAAAAATAATAATACATTTAAAAACTTGATGAGTTTCGTGTTGCCGAGGTTTTATTAAAAATTTTGTATTATAAATGAATGTTTGTTTTGACAATTGTACCGCGTTTGTTGCGAAATAGTTTAATGGCGCTCATATTTCGTGTTTAATTTCAGCTGTTTTGTATTATATTTAATTAATTAACCTCCCGAAAAAGAAGTTTGATTTCGCGAAAAATGCGATGTGGTAATTCTGTGTTCTCGATGTTTAAAGTCATTCTGAATTGAATGAGAACAAATTTAAAAAAAAAATGTGTGTGTATGTGTATGTGAGCCGATTTGAATGTGAAAACCTCGGGGTTTTCTGAAAAACGGCTGAACCGATTTCATAAATAATTATTTATAATGGCTTTTAAAAGCCATTTGATAAATTATAATAAAGACTATCGATGGTTGGTTTTGCGCGACGATCGGCCAAGCCGTTTCTTTGTAATTAGCAGAAATGTGTAAAATTATTTATTCGATTTAAAAAATTCAACTAGTGGGGCATGGCATTGTGCCTTAAGGCAAATTGCTCGAACTTTCCGTTCCAAAATTTAATTTTTTTTGAAAAGATTAAAATTAAAAAAAAAAATACTCTTAAAAAAATGTTTTCTTTATTTTGAAATATTTAGATTTAGCTGCATAGAGACGAAATATCGAAGCCCGTCTAACGGACAAACGATATTATGGAACTACATGTATTATTAAAATCTTCATAAAATATCTGATAATTTGATGTGCCTTTGTCTAATGACCATTTTTGACCGTCTGCATATATCTAATTTATATGATAGCAATTACACCATGATGATATACATTGGTATGTCAAAAAATTATTAATATTCATATTTGTTGATTTTATAAATTTTCTTACATAAAATATATAAGCTAGTGGTGTATGATCAAACAAATATTACTTAACCTTTTGGTATTATACGCATAGAATGTTTAAAAAAGACAACCGGAGAAACTTTTTTTTTCAATTCAGGAGATGATAAATGTTTCTGAAAAACTGTACACTGAATACTGTAAAGATATCTCGTTATCTGTTGATTTTCATTTGAAATCATAAATTAACTAGTGGTGTATGGCATCGTGCCTTAAGGCAAATTGCTGGAACTTCCCGTACCGTAACGAAATGTTCGAGGAATATTAAATGTTTTCAAATAGATTATTATAAATACTGTAACATTGTCTAATAATTAAAAGAATTAGTTAGAAATTGAATTACAAAGTTAAAATTATTTATTTAGACTATATAAGTGGTCTTTAGAACTTTAGAGAGAATCAAAATTCTAATCTGAATTATTTTCTGTATACACAAAAAAGATTGAAAAAAAATTGAAATAATTTTTTTTCCAAAAGCAATTGTTTTGTCAACACAAGCTGAAAGTTTTTTGAATCATTCAATTCGGGTGCTTATTTCTCTCAAAAACTGCTATTTTTTGTACATTTAGTTCAGTACCTTCGAAATGGTATGCTTTTGTAAAAACTAATATCTATTACTCCCAATCATTACTAATTGAATGTTTTTTAGATCATTCAAATAGGGTGCTCCGTTCTCTCAAAAACTCGATTTTTATTTTCTGCACTCTTTGCCCTTTATCTCCGTTACGGCTGGACCTGCTTTTGCCAAAAACTAATCAGCACATCCCCCTATCAATAGGAATCTAATGTTTTTTAAACCATTCAAATCGGTTGATCCGTGCGCCCGAAAACGTGGACGCAAAAATGCGGACACAAAACACACACATATACATCCATGATTTCTGAGGTATGCCACAATCTTCAGAAATCTTCAAAACGCCGAGAAATGCAACAATTTTCAATTTCGATTTTTGGACGATTGCAATAACTTACCCTACGGATAGTTAAATATATATTATTCGTGCTTCCTCAAAATGCATATATAAATTTATTTGAAAAAAAAAATGAAACTCTTCTTGTTCTTAACAGAAGTGGTATTGTTGATTAACTCTTGGTTAACTTGAAGTGGTATTATTGAGATGTTTATTAGATATGTTATTGCAGCTTTGCAGCTCTAACTGTTTGCATTTAATAATCCATTTGAATCTATATTTTGATAAAATTATGGATATAAATTATTTTTTTGTAATCAAACTGACTTGCAGCCATACCGTGACATTACTTACTTAGTCAGCCATACTTAGTTGACATTAATTATCATAATTATTTAGTTGTTGATAAAATTTATTATAATTTCAAATTTAAAAAAAAAACGTTTATAAAAAAAAATTATATTAATAATGGCAGTGCATTTTATATTTTTAACTAGATGTACCTGCGACCTTGTTCGTGTGAAATTTAATAAAAAAAATAAATGTTTTTTATTTTTATTTTTATTAACATTTATTTTCAGTTATCTCCATTAGTTTAATTAAAATATGTTTTTTATACACAGTATTTGGTGTACGATTTTCTTAGGATTTTTCTTAGAAGGTTCTTATTAGGACAACACTTTTTTTTCTTCTTGTGTTTTAAGCGAGATTTGACTTTCATAACTAATGAATGGTGCATATTTAAAAATCTAAAAAACCAAATTAAATATACTTATTTTAGGGAGAAAACAGTAGCAAAAGATTACTATTTAAATAAAATAACATATAAATAAATTGATCAATTTCAATGTAAATCTGAATATTGAACAACTGTACTTAATTTACAATTATTTCTCTTAGGTAAAAAAAAATAGTAAAAATGTAACAAAATATTTTAAATTAAAATTCTTAAAATATTTTGAATTAATATAAGATCAGATGAAATGTAAAAATCGAATCATTTTATTTCAATTTCACGCGGCCAAGATCTCGGGTGCAGCCAGATGAGATAAGATACTTTTTTTCTAAAATAAAATTAGCCAAAGTTGCGCCCAATTACATCAGCTACCTGTCAAGAAAGTTTCGTCAAAATCGGTCTAGTAGTCGTTTTTGGCGGAGATTAGTCCAAACAAACTGACAGACAAAAATGTTGAACAATGCTAATTAATATGTACCCTGTATTAAAAACGGCTATTTCAATATTATGAACTAACACTATTTTCATTTATATTTTGCAGTCGTCATGTGAATTCCTTCATGTTTGGTATTTTACAAATTAGTGCTTATTTCATATATTGATAAAAAAAAGAGATTTTTAATTTTAAATAATTGTTTTTAAGCTTTTTATCCAATTGTTTCAAACCAAAAAAAATAAATTTTTAAGTATATATATATTTAACTTCCCGTAGGGCAAGTTATAGTAATCGCAAAAAAATCGAAAATGAAAATTTGTATATATCTTTACGTTTCAAAGGTTTCTGAACATTTTGGCATACCTTAGAAAAAATGGATGTATGTGTGTGTGTGTATGTATGTGCGTGTGTGTATGTATGTGCGGATACAAATTTGAATAATTCAAAAAACATTCGATTCGTATTGATAAGGAGACGTGCTGATTAGTTTTTGGCGAAGGCAGGTCTAGCCGTTCCGAAGATACGGGGCAAAAAGTGCCGAAAACAGTAACTCAATTTTTAAGAGAACAAAGCGTCCGATTTTAATAATTCAGAAAACATTTTACTTGTATTGACAAGATGAAAAATTGATCAAATTTTCATGAGGGCAGGTCTAGCGGTTTCGGAGATCTAACGAAAAAAAAAAAAAAATGCCATTTTGCGGTCAAAAATGATCATTAGACATATGCACATCAAATTATCAGATATTTTATAGAGATTTTAACAATAAGTATGAATTTTGTTTACATTCCTATGGGTTCCGTACCAATGTTTATCCGTTAGACAGCGACGCGGCGCTTACGCGCTTTATATTGTGTCTCTATGCAGTTAAAGCAGTACGATTGCTTTGAAAAAAAGTTCAGATCTTCCAAAATATGTCAAAATAGAGAAATTTTTTTTTTTAAAAAAAGAAATTAAAAAAATTTTTTTTATAAAAAAAAAGTAATTTTTTGTCCAATTTATAGTTTCTCAAAAATCTAATTTTTTCGAAGTAAAAATTTTTCAAAAATGTTAATCGTTTTTAAAAAAATAATAATTTTTGGTATGGGAAGTTCCAGCAGTTTGCCTTAAGGCACGATGCCTTAATTGCCTTAAGACAGAATTCCACTTACAGCTAGTTCTATTCATACATTTGAAGATATAAACATTGTTAGGTCTCCAATGGCTTCAAACGTTTTCTTTGACCAACATTTACATGTAAAAGTTTTGAGATATTGTGATGATTCATTCTTAACTACTAGACTTTTTAGAAAGCAACCCAGTGGTTGCTCCTTTTCAAATAGTGACGATATTACTTAATTTAATGTTGCAGTACTCGGCTATTTTACTTAGAACTGTCAAGTAAAAATGGATATCTCTAATGTTTGATATCGTATGTAGGCTGTGGAGTTCACTTAATCTTATTTTGATCAAAATCTTTATAATTTTTTTGCAACTTTTATTAATTGAGGTGTTGTTTGATTGTTTGATTACTTTTTATGTCAATTGCAAATTTTATTCAAACAAATTTATTATGTTGTTTTCACTATTATATAAACGACATGATATAACATAATGGTGCTCAAGCAAGCGTGAGAGTGACATTTCATACAACATAGTTACTAGAAGTAATTTCGCAAAGGCTTATAATCTATACGCTTTGTTGTATTTATAAATATAAAGTATATATTTTATATAAGCTGATAGGTTGCGCGAATGTTGATAATTATTGTATAATTTTTATTAAATAGTGAATTAGTGAATCTTTGCTAGATTACGTTTCAATTAAAATTTTGCACATGGTTTGGAGTATGAGATATGTTGGTATTAGCTTTTGTTATTTCTTTTACTCTTATTAGAATTATATTCTCTCTAAAACATAAATATAAAAAAAATCATAAAACATAATCGGTAGTACTGTCCTAGGGTAGGTCCGTGAGCTGGGTTAAACACCAACTCGATTCAGGGAAGAATAGTATGAA